TCCCTTTCTACCAAACTACCCTGATGCCAAAACAAAGATGAAGAAATTTTAGAAAACTCTCTTTCCCATCTGTAAAATCAGAATAATCAGCCAACTAAAGATCCATTTTCGTTAACCTCAGCAGAAATAAAAAGCTTTATTAAGAGAATGCAAATCTATTCAGAACCATTATTTGAACAAATGGGAAGAAAAAAAAGAATGAATAAAAATCAAGGGCAATATTTATACTCACCACACACAAAGCCATCTGGGCTAACAGCAAAAATACTTCTTCCTTTTAGCAGCTGAGGATGGGCGCAACTGGCATTTACAAAGCTCTGAAAGTTGTTCTCTGCCACCCACTGTGGGAGCCATTTTAGTTGGCAATCACACAAAAGACTTGATGTATTTAGATGCCTGAGGAGAGTAATTACATTCAATTTGTTTTGTATGAAATGCAGATTTCTACAAGTAAATTACATTCAAGTAAATATTAACAAAGCAATGAATTTGGAAACCAAATACATATATCCCATTTATAAATATCCCATAGTCTATCTTAAAATGCAAGTTTACCTATCCTGTTTTTTCTTTTTTCCTGTCCCTATTCTTATTGTCTGACTGAAGCAGAAGTGCTGATGTATCGAAATTCCTTACTACTAAAACACTGCTGCTATATTTAAGCACCATACTCCATTTGGTACCACAAATTTAAGTTGCAAATTCAAAACAGAAAGAAAAAGAAATTCCTCATTGCAACAAAGAAAGCAAAAAATCAATTCCTTTTCCAGCATAAAAATGAAGTCACGTTAGGAAAGTGCTAGTCACTTTATAGACACATCAGCTGGGATGACACATCACAGGACAGCTGTCCTTGCTATGATTTACTTGAGGCTCTTGGAAGGAAAAGAAAAGCTTACAGTTGTTGAAGTTTCTTCATTTGTGAAAATGCATTTCCTTGTAATGACATAATCGCGTTGTCACTCAGGTCTCTGAAAGAACCAAATCAAACACATCATGGTCATTTTGGGTCATCAGGCAAAACACCGCCCATCCCATTCACCAAGCAAATCCTCTATACTGAAATGCAAGAAGGGGGTGATCCTAGAAGAATCTATTACAAAGCATGGGACTGAGGAAGAGGATGTGTGTGTTATAAGCCTCTGTGATGGTAAGAGGTACTTTCTGTCACCACCAGGTTATTTGGCTCCTAAGGGCCTGAGATGTTCTGCTATATTATTTTATTGTACTTTTCATTATTCTAATTAGTAACCAGAATTTTTTAAATACACAAAACTCCTAATAATTATGTGTTCTAAAACCATCATTTAGAGAACATTTTCTATGACCTGTACTTTGTTTAGTGATGCACGCATATTATTGTTTTCAATTCYAGAATAACTCAGAAGAGGGAGGCATTGCCCCCACCAGCCCAATTCTGCCAAACACAGCTCACTCACAYAAGAGCAGTAAGCTATTCAGACAAGATGTACTTGTTAAAACAAACACTCCAGGTAGGACATTCAAAACATAAAGAGAATCTTCTGGGCTGATTTTATTTTTAACTAGCACTTATAAATAGTTTGAATTAACATATCGGCCACAATGATTGCTACTGTTTTTCTTTACGGAGGTCAGAGTATACAGAAGGCATTTTGAATGAGACCAGTGGCAAAAGAAGACAAAGAAACAAGGTGCCAGACATGGCTAGGGAAAGAGGCTGGGAGAGTCAAAGAAGGTTAAAGAAAATTGAAGCAGAGGTTAATACTTCACTGATCCACTAATTCCACTTTCCCAGAAATGGAATGGGCCAAATGACAAACCCTTTTGGCTAGTTTTCCTTTGAAAATAATCTGTTTCAATAAGTTCAGCAATACTAGCCCAACCTTCCAGAACTCCGCTTTGCAGAATCATTCTTCTACAGTTTTCTCTGCTGCACTGGCAGCAGGGCTAGCAATCCAAATCTCTCTCAAATTAACTGGTAGAGTCAAAAAATGACTACAAGGTRGCGTAGAGATAACACTGAAATCTCTGCTTTTTACATATGGTCCTAATGGGTATATAAGCCAAATGCATATTTTAAACAACTTATTTTGTTCAAGTTCATAGATATTAAAAATTTTGGTTATAAGCATTTCTTAATAGACACATTATATATTATGTTACCATTTTACTGTACAATTGTAAAACGTATATACCCCTGGGTATGAGCAGTTGGTGGGTTCAGTTAGTAATAACACAGTGTACAGGCAGGTTTGGATTCCTCTCAACACCAGCCAGCTTTTCTTTCCTCATGGCTGAAAATTCTGAACCCCTAAATCTTATTTCAAAAATGTGTGCTGGGAGGTTCCTGAAGAGAGGTAGAGATTAGGCAGGCAAAGGAAGAGGGAGGCCAGGACTCCATGAAGGAGGAGAGAGCCCTGCCTTGAGTCCTACCCTTGCCAGTTGCTAAGTTATAGGTCAATAATGAAGGAGAATGAGGAATGGGGAGATGGCTACACATTTTATACTAAACAAAACCAACAAAAATATTCTGAACATGTGTTAAGATCTCCGACGCTATTCTTGGGGATTAAGGAGAACTGGGTTTTTGCTCTTCAAAATGCAGTTCATAGTCTTAATTGTCCAGTGGAATTAATGAACTTCTAGGACTTCTGTTGAACTTAAAGATAATAGGAGCTACTGAATAATATTCTCATAAGGGTTGAATGAGACCATATACAAATACATCTCACCATGTCCAGCATGCATTAAGCACATAATAGGTAGTTTTTTTTTTTTTTAAATTAAATGTATCATTACTTAAGAAAAGTGAAGAAAATCCAAGAATGAAGTAGAGCAATGTCCTTAAATGTATAGGAAAACACAGACATGCACACCAGCAGACAGATCAATAGGCAAGCAAATAGGCAGGTAGAAAGATAGATATATAAACACATTTGTGGTCCTRGGAGAATGACAACAAAATTGCACTCTAGTTTGTTTTATCTTTCAAGAAACACCTCAGACTACCTTTAAGGTAACTTAATTCCATCTACTCACAGATGTTCTAATGCATCCAGGCCAGTGAAGGCTTTTTTGGTAATAGACCGGATCCGGTTCCCCTGGAGTATTCTGGGAGGGTGGGTAGGCAGGAATAATCGAGAACAGAACAGTTAATTACAAAAAGCCACTCTGTTGGTGGAACTCTCATAAAAACAATTGGCTCTTTCAATCATTTGTGAGCAAGTATATTTTCATCAATTCAAGGATATATCTTAAAAACTATATCCATTGTATAATATGATTGTCAAAGCATTCAACACTAAAGCTAAAAATAAGAAGTTACTCTGATGGTGACATTAAAGCACTGCTCTTTGGTCTTTTTAGGAATAGGAAGGAACTTTATTTTAAGGAAATTCTTTCAGATAAAGCACACAATAGTGGAAGTTTTCTTCTTCCCCTCCTCATAGTTGGCTTAAAACAAATTTTGGCCATCTGTAAGAACGTTTTATGGCTAAATGTGTTTTCATTCTGTATTTTGGGGACCTTCTGCAGTATTAATCACTGGATCACTTTGTTTGAAAATTCATGTGAGTAGAATGTAACACATAGGGTTTAAATGTTCACGTTAGTGTTATGGTTTGGCCATGAGATATCCTCTGAATTGCTCAGGTGGCAGTGCAGTGATGTTCACAGGTGAAATGAGTGGATCTTTATCAGTGGATCAATCTGCTTGACGGATTAATAATTTGAATACTGGGTAAAAACTGTAGGCAGGTCACCAAGAGAGTGCGCTTGGGGATTAAACCCTATCCCTGGCTCCTTCGCTCCTGCATGCCCTCTGTTTCCTGATTGCTATGAGCTGGGCAGCACTCCTCCACCACTCTATTCCTCCATGATGCTCTGCATCTTCTCAGGCCCAGAGCAATGGATTTGGCCACCCATAGACTCAATCTCTGAAACCATGCACCCCAAATAATCTTTCCCTACTCTGAATTGCTCGTCAGGTTATTTTGCTCACAGCAATAAAAAGCTGACAACAGTAAGTATGCCTACTTTTACCCAATGATAATTCCCAAAGTCTAAGCAGTGAAAATAATTAAAAATGTAGTTATATATTAGTAGACATTGAGATCAATTGTACACCTTAAATGTTAAATTTTTTTCCCCTTTTATCCAAGGAACAAAAGCTAATTATTATATACACATCTTGTAGAACACTCATTTGGGGGAAATGATACAGGGTAGCAACAGGATTATACATCAACTTATAATCTCTTTACAGTGTTAATTTGTGGAACTGACTTCAATTAAGACAAAAAATTTAAGTCAAAGACTGAGCCAAATTATGAGGCAAATAATACTCACAGGCGTCTCAGTTTGTCAAGCCCAGAGAAAGCACCATTCATGTCTTCAATAGTCCATGAAATCTCATTGTTCTTCAGGTCCCTAATTAAAAAGAGCATTATCTTTAGAGAGATGCTTCAGAAACCCAAGATCACCACCCAGGTGGCATGCCATTTGTAACAAACTCCTCATAATTCCCCCTATCATCTCCACCCCTTTCAAAATCATAAACTCTTCGMTTCCCAAGGCACCTCTCATAGTCTATACTCTTCCCTCAAACTACATCTTAAGTTTCTGCCCCAAATCCAGATAGCTGACTCTGGCCTTGTTAATTCCTGTATCAAGATGACTAAATTCTGAAGACTTGAAGAGTCTGAAAACTGCATTAAACTTTAAAACCACAGTTCCAACCACACAAGCAGGAGTTCGCCAAAGCATACAGCGTCTTTCAATTATGTAATGCTTCAAACAGGGAACAGAGCACAAATTTCTGACAGCGCAAAAATCAAAAGACCATTGCACAATGTTAAATTAATATCTGAGAGATTTTTCAAAGGTCAATTAATTCAACTCTCTTTTCTTTCACTTAGGACAGCGATCAGGTTGTAGATGTAACTGGCAAGAGAAGCAGGCATCATCCTCCACTGCCCTTTGTCTCTCTTTTTGCTCTGGGTAATTTTTAATCTGCATTTAATAAAGAAAAGTTAGTGGATTTAAAACTGTGTCCCTCTTTGGCAGTTATCAACTTCCTGGAGATCCTGAGACGGCTAACCATAATCACCCAAAAAAATCTGATCACTGTCCTTTGAATCCCTTTATGAAACACATGTGGATAAAATGGATCCATTTTAATCAAACTGTTCTGGGAAAGATTAAGATGCTACTTTTGAGGCTGTACACACTTCCTTGACAACAAAGGAAATCTGCTGGGAGAAAAGTGGGCGAATTTAGGAACCAATTAGGTCCATGTACCGAAAGCAGAAAGTGTAACTTACAAAGTCTTTAAACTGGAAAGCCCCCGGAAGGCACAGTCAGCGATGTAGCTGACTTTGTTGTTCCCAATGTGCAATGTGTTTAGTAGGCTGAGGCCAAGGAAGCTTGAATCATCTAACCTCGATAAGTGGTTGAAAGTTAGGTCCCTATAAAGAAAAAAGGAATTTTAGAAAACGGCTTTGACTTTTCCATTCAACATGACGATTTGCTTCCTGACGGACAGGTAATAAATGTAACTATGATAATCCTTATTTTAAAATCTGACCTCAACAATACTCAGGGTAAACATTATTTTTATTCCCAATAATTAAAAAAAACAACAAAATAACCATGATTGCTTTTGCCCATGCACCAGGAAACAGCAGAGTTGGCTTCAACTTATCACAACAATAAATATAAGGACGAGGTTGCATGTGAAAAAAAAAAAAAAATCTGTCACCTTGGAAACTTTGTTATGAAAATTTCACAGATCAGTGGTAAGAAGCTCATGCTCTGGCATGATCCCTGCTCTCAAACCTGAGAATAAAAGGCAACTCACAGCTCACTGAGTTTCTGGCAGAACTCCCAGGCATCAGGGCTGATCCTGTTGATGGCATTCTGGCTGAGATGAAGTTCCTGCAGCATCAGCAAGCCATAAAGCCAGCCTTTGGTAATCTCTGTTAGGTTGTTGTGGTCCAGCTGCCTACATTTATAAGAAGAATCAAAGGCAGAATCCAAAGCTCATTATTGAGTCTCTTCTAAGGGGACAAATGATTCCATCCGAGGACACATTCCTATTATTTAATAGATATTTAGCTCTTGCTATCAGAAGATATTGGCAGAAAATACTCTAAAATCTTTCTTATAAGTTTTATGTGCTTAGGAATTTTCAACCAGATTACCTGAAACAAAACTCAATAGTAAATTATAAATAAGATTGTGCACTATGAGATTTTAACACAGTATTTCAAGTGGGAACTACTGGGTGTTCTACCTTCTTGCTCGCTGAGTGGGAACTGTGGGAACCCACACTTACAAGATTTCCATGTTGCTGAGGCCCCAAAAAGCTCCATCCATAAGTTTTGTTACTCCGTTCCTTTGCATTTTCAGAGACCTCAGAGCACTAAGCCCTTGGAATGAGAGTCCATCTACATTTTTGATCTTGTTTCGGTTCAGTTCACTGCATTGGATATGACAAATTAAACAGTTAGCTTATATGACAATTAAATTCTGGAGGGAGTAATAAAATGTGTCATTACTACAATATATTTAACCCAGTCAGTGTTAAATTACATAGAACRTTTTAAACTTCTAAACATTTTTATTGAGAAGAATTTCAGTTTATTAGCAGTGAGTGAATTTCTGTCTGAAATATGTGATGTATTTTTGGAATAATAAAATATTGAAACCAGACTGCACTTGAGTTTCTAAACCACAGTCCACTCAGCATAGAAGCATATCAATTAATATTTGTTTTTAAATGATCCAGAATGAGGACATTAAACATTCCACTAAAACGTGAGGTCTTTTCAGGATCAGAGCCTTCAAGAGTATCCTGCTCCGTCTGCTTACAAAACTGGTTACTCTCTTCCCTGACTTTTTAGGTTTAATTATTTCTTTTAAGGCTGTATGGAGTTCTCAATCTTGGCTGCACACTGGAACCACCTGGGGAGTTTTAAAAGTTACTGAAGCCTGGCTCTTACTCCCAGAGGTTTTAATGTAATTGGTCTAGGGCGTGGCCTGGGTGCTGGGATTTTTAAAAGCTCCCCAAGTCTCTGTAATGTGCAGCCAAGGCTGAAAACCACTACTGCAGGAGCCTGTTCACAGATCATTCTCCCATTATTAACAAGACAGTTCTTTACAGCCTCTTAAGCTATCGGGGCCTCCTGGAGTTGTCGGCATTATTCTCATAAACTGCAGCTGTTGGGAGCCCCATGATTTCTTTGGTGCCACAATGGCACCTTTGTAAGGAGGCCATTCAATGATAACACTGTTCCCTCCTTCAGTATCAATCTACAGTGTCTTGTCAGGCAGCAGCTGGTAGTGGGTGATGACTAAGGATCCTCCCAATTCAAAGATTCAACAACCCCAGCTCTCAGAGGAAAGGTGGCCATGTGCTTGCTTCAAAATGCCTTTTACCAGAGTGTGAAGTTTGGAATACAGACATCAGGATTTGGAGGAGGTGAGGGAAACAGTATCCAAGAGGACACTGGACTTACAGGTGTTGCAGCTGGGGCAGTTTAAACATCTTGGGTGGGATAGTTGAGATTCGGTTCCTGTTGAGCTTCAACACCAAGAGTGTGTTGGCCAAATTGTCAAAATACCCAGGTTCCATGGATGTGACTCGGTTGCTGTTGATGTACCTGTTGAACGTTTGAGGATGAGCTGCTCTTTCTGGTTTCTCTGGGAGTTTAAGTGCATGCAACCACCGTGCATTATAAAGAATCTCCAGAGAGCCTAACATTCAATGGATATTTACAATAATTACCCTTAGGTCCTTGTGGACAAATGTTGAGGTGAAGATTCATACACATGGGCTGGGGGGTATAGCTCAGGGGGTAAATGCATGCATGGCATTTGTGAAGTCTTGGGTTCAATCCCAACACTCAAATCCATAAGCAAATAACAAGAATATCACATGTATTGCTGGGAAAAGAGTGGGAGGCTTGAATGTTACAAAAATCTGTTAAGATAAGCCTCTACTTTTGTGACATTCATTTATTAATTAAAACACAGCAAGCCAGGCACAGTGGCACAAGCCTATAATCCCAGCAGCTTGGGAGGCTGAGGCAGGAGGATCGCAAGTTCAAAGCCAACCTCAGCAACTTGTGAAACCCTGTCTCAAAATAAAATATAAAAAGGACTGGGGATGTGGCTTAGTGTTTAAGTGGCCCTGGATTTAATCCCCAGTACCAAAATAAATAAACAAACAAACAAACSCCCTAAAAAAAACAATAACAAAAACACAAAACAAAATGGAAAAAAAAACCAGCAAAGTTTAACTTTGATTTTTTTTAGAGAAATATTTTAACACAATTTTTTATATAGTCAAAGATAATCCCAAAGTGTCAGAATAAAATGGAGATTGAGGTTACCACAAATCTCAAATCAATAAGAAAGTTATATTTTTTGATCCATCAGTAGTTAGGCAGTGTTTGTTGTATCTTTTTTTTTTTTCATTATAACATGATATTTTCATTGGAGATAAAAACTTTTGGTAGAAAAAACTTCACTTACAGATATTTGAGTTGAAGGGGTGGAAATGCAGTTTTAAGTTCCGAAATATTGTTGCTGCTTAGATCCAAAGTTTCAAGGGACTGAAATTGTTTCAGATGTTCAGGTAATATCTCTGCAATCCTATTTCCAGCTCTGGAATTAAAAGACAGCACAGATAACTGGTTTAATGGTACAAAAAAATGAAAGGAGAAAAATATTTCCTATTCCTGCTGAACAAAGAAGAATCTTCTCTGTTCCTAACTTGTTCTTAAAAAATATGCAACGGTGATTAAAACAGTACTTTTGAAAGTTAAGCAGTAATTCCACAACCACTTTAATTTATTCACTGAATCTTATATCATATTAGAACATATGAAATACATTCCTATAAGTCTGATACTATTTGGCAGTAGCTGTCTAAGCACTATCCACTTAAGACAACATGCTATTTTTCAAAATAGTTCTTCCTCATCTTCTTACATGGTAAGGGAAAGTCCTAGTATCAAGAGGGATATAAGCACTGATGAAATTATTTCTCATTTCTTCTTCCTGATTTATAATCTAATTCTTCTCTTGCCAAGTACCCACACTACAGGTGCCAATGAACTTCAAATACTCACGAGAATGGGGCTTTTTTAAAAACCATTCTGGAAAGATTTTTTTTTTCCTTTTAGCAACAGCAAGTTTCAATGCATTGCCAAAGTTTCAATGCCAGTAGAGATGCTCCAGGGCTTTCAATACTTTCAATAAAAATATTATGTAAGATCATACTAGTCTAATCCCTGGGCAGTTAGGTTAAGACAGGTTTGACATTAACAGTCTAAACCAAGATGCASAACCCAGGAGCCACTAGTCACATATGGCTCTTTAAATTTTAGTCAATTAAATGTTAGAATTTAGTTCCTTGGTTACAGTAGGCAGTAGCTACCAAATGGGACAAAACACACAGTTCTGTCCCACCATCGTGGACAGTTCTGATAATGTTACTAGACTTTACATGGCGGGAAAAAYAGGAAAACAAACCAATAAAATAAAAAGAGGCCAAGTCAAACTTCTTAAAAGGACATCAATACTACCGGTCCCAAAGGGAAATTCAGCTAAGTGGCAATTTTGTTAGAAAACAGGAATCGAACAGACATGCAAGTCATCTCCACTGCCATGTTAGATCAGGTAGCTTGGTCTTTTTAGACCATCATCTGGGGGGGGGGGGATTAACATATCAAAGCAGAAAAGTTGGGAAGATAAGAGCCCTCCTACAAATCATGAGAAGGTCTTCTCTTTACAACCCAAGGAATGGTGAAACTATCTGTATGTTGTAGGCAGAGCTGTTACAAAGATCACACCTTGTATTTCTTTGGTCTGCAGTTAATCTTTACTTAACAAGAAAACTTAGAAGATATATCTCATATCTGTATCTCCTTTATCAATAGCTGGATTCTATAACACTCTGAGTTTATTAAGTTCTTCTGTATTAGTAGATATCTCAGGCATCTCCCAACCTCAGAAGTTTCCTGAGTTAGGTATAGCACTTATTTATATTCACCAAATCCTATACTGCATTCTGACATAGTATGTCCATAACTGGTCTTCTTTGCCATATTGCAAGTTTATTAGAAGCAGACATATATCTTTATCTCTACCCTGGAATGTGTATGAAATCTAGCTTGTTGAGCAAAGAATAGGGGTAAAGCCCTATGCCAAACACTTCTCATATACTATGCTATTTAATCATAAAATAATTTCTCTGATAGAGATATAATAGATGGTTTTAAAATTAAAAAATCAGGGCTTTTCATGTAACAAGCTGAGTATTTCTAAGCCATCTCAGAGCATAAGTCTAAATTGGTCCCAAAGCAATTCCTGAAGGCTTGTCTCAAAGAATTCAGAGTATCAAAGATATTTTGGCAATTAAATTCTTACTGGAGATGTACCTTCAGAAAGATCTAAAATGCTTCACCTTGCAAAACTGCTCAACAGAAGTTGAAGCCAGAAGGCTTGAAGTGAACATAGGACTCCACCTGGTTCACCAAGCCTTCACCGTGCCAACACTCACAAATGCCCTAGAACAGGACCGCTCCCGTTTACACTTGACCCTCTGGAGTTAGAAGGTTGTATTCCTGATTATGTGCAAATGTCAGGCGCTGTTTTCTCCACAATAAAGAACAATAAGGAGGAGAAAACAGGCCCTAAGTTATGTATTTAAAAAAAAAACTAACACAACTTCTCAAAATATTGCTAAACCCCACAGCAAATGACTTTTATGTCATTTTTGATCTTTAAAAATCCAAGCCAACAGAGAATTTAACTCCATTTTTTAAAAAGTAATCCTATACAAGCCTAGAAAATACATATTTTAAGAGCTGAACTTGGCAATTAACAACAAAGTTAAAAACAAAAAGTATTAGCAGTTCTGTGTACAAATCACAAATTAGCAAACCCCTCAGATTCCCATAAAGTCTTCCAGAATTTGTTTAGAATCAAGTCAGCCATGACCTCTGATTTTGACCATTTCCCACATCTGGATTCGCCAGTGCGTAAACTCCTTGATCTAGTTGTGAGGTAAAGGGTAATGCAAGAAAGACAATTAGTCAATTTCTAGGTCCCGGAGATGGAATCAATCCAAGGGACAAGCCACAGGCCTTCAGGGTCAGGGTGTGTGGGTTAAACAAAACCACACTTTTGGGGCACACAAATTTTTTCTAAAATACATAAACCAATGTTTGCATTATCAGGATGTCCTCCCACCAAGAGTGCAGTAACCCTGAAATGTCCAAGTGCCCCTTCTCTTCAGACCTTGCTCTGTCCCTAGCTACATCTCCTTTCATAAATCTGCATCTGGTTTTGGCCCCCAGGCTGTCTGGGTCTAGTATAGCTACACTTACACAGTATTTAAAAACAACAGAAAGAAAACACTTAGCCAGAGATTTTTGCAATAAATGGAGCAAATTAGGGTTTCAGGGGAGGGAGAGCGAGACTCACAGGTGTCTATCACCCTGGTCAAACAAGGCTACAAGATAACAGACCATACAATCTTTGGTTTATATATTCGTTTGTTTATAAGGCAATTATGAACAAGGTATTAAAACTGCCAATTACTTGAGTGACGAATAAAATTTTCCTTGCAGTAAAAGTATACCCCAGCCAAAGCCAGCAATTTCCTGAACTGCACACCTCCTAAATTGCAGTGTGAAAGTGCTCAGTTATAGATGGAGCATGCACAGTACAGTCTTTGTCAGCTCTGCGCCCCAGCACAAAAATCCCTTACAACTGCCAGGATAATAGCCCCTGTATCACAAAAATTTAAATCTGTCCTAATGGAACTGAATTAAATCCAAATGCCAGTTTCTTATTAGCACTTAAAGTAACTGGCAAATAACCACCTGATATGTACCAGTTTAAAACACAAAACAAACCCCCTCCTAAAAAAAACTTGCTTTATATCATGAAAGAAAGGTAAAAAAGCAAGGTTACAGTTTAAAAAAATTAGATTAAAAAAAAATCTCTATCATCTGAAACTTCCAAAATAAGTTTATATCACAGAGTGGGTCAAAAAGCCACTTCTAGGAGACAAAGATTCAATTCAGCTCCAGCTTTCATTTTTCTTCAAATATGGATAAATGCCAAAGTTGATCCACATAGTAAAAAGCATTGCAGTTAATTAATATTTTTGGCAGGATGTGTGCAACACCTGAACAAAAATAAAACTGTGTCAATACTTTTTCTGTTATTTAAGCCACGTAGAAATGCCATCTTTCCATTGTTCAAAAAATCAGAACATGGTACTATAAGCACTGAAAGGTGCTTTAGGTTCATGCAAACCCACCTAAGAGACTAGAAATATGTTGGTCTTCTCTGTTTAGAGTACAGGGAGTTCCACAGTCAAATCATTACTGAGATGAAGTATAATTAATCCCTGTGGACAAACAGAACTGGGGGCATGGTTGTGGGGGGAGGCAGAAGGTTCCTTCAGGCTTCTAAGACCACGGGAAAAAGAGGAGTCCCAGATATTTCAGCCTTGGCTTCTTAGGTTCAATAATAATGGCTTCATTCTGTTGCCAATTCCATTTTTTGACCAGCTTTGCCAAATACCTTTTTAAAATGCGGAGGCAGATGTGGGTACCCCACTGCTGTCTGATGATGTAGGGCTACAGGGAGACCTATCCATTAACCAGGATGGAGATGCCTGACCTCACCAAGCCTGAAGTCTAGGGGAGAGAACAGGCAAACAGGAGAGGTCAATAGTGGGGTAAGCGCTGTGAAAGGAAGAGGGAGCAGAACAAGTAGAGAGGGCAGACTCCTCAAGAGCAGTGGGAAGAGTGAGGGTGGGCATGGGTCACAAAACTTGCCAGGGGAACTATGCTAAGACCTGAAGGATGAGGGGTTAGCTTGGCGGCAGTGAAAGTGAAGCGAGGCGTCTTCTCTTTGAGGAAATGAAAAAATAAAAGTCTCGATGGCTGGAGTTTGGAGTTTGGAGATACTGGAGAAATATGAAGCTCAAGAATGAGTTGGCAGAGAAGAGAAGAAAGAGTAGATCAAGCAGGGCCCTGGAAACCATGTCAGGCATTTAGCCTCTATCTCAAGATCAGCTGTGAGGAGAAGYCAAAGCATTTCTAATAGTGGGGTCACATGTGCTACACAGTGGCTGCTCTGGCAGTCATGGGTATGAAGACTGGATGAAGGGCAGACAAGAACAGGCGCAGGGGCACCATGTAGGAGGCTCCTAATTTTTGTGTGTTTTTTGGGTCAGGGGATTGAACCCAGAGGTGCTTTAACCACTGGGCCACATCCCTAGCCCTTAATATTTATTTTTTATTTTGAGATAAGGCCTCGCTAAGTTGCTTACAGCCTCACTAAATTGTTAAGGCTGGCTTTGAACTTGTGATCCTCCTGAGGAGGCTCCTAACTTGATGTGGTGGACACAGAGACTATGCTAGCACCAGAGTGGTGGCCTAACTAGACACAGGCTCTGGGGTGGGGACCACTCTTCCACTTTCCTGAGCTCTTATCCCCTGCACATAGGCCTAGTTTTTTTTTGTTTTTGTTTTTTGTTTTTTTAAGATCTGTAGCTCTGTTCTTGAGACTAAGGTCCAGAGTTGCCATTAACTCTATTCTTTACCATTGTGTTCTACATTTTTAGTTGTTTCTGTTGTTTT